AAATTTCATTTTGCGTCTTAAAATTACATTCTTTATATTCCATATTTTCTTCATTAGTACCTCTCTTATATATAGCAAGAAACATAATATTAACTTTTAAATTTTTCTTATTTAAATCATGTTTAAGTCGTCCTATTACTGGATTATCTAAACGATTTAAAAACATTTTTACATCTTTAATACCCATATTATTTTTAATAATATAAGTTTTTAATCTACTTTGAAATGCTGTTTCTTCATTTTTTAAAATAGGTCGAATAGTGTTGTTTTTTTCAAAAATTTTTTCACTAAAATTGAAAACTCTATGTGGTTTGGGTATTATCTCTCTTGATATTCTTGGTCTTATACCATTGTTTTGATGTCGAATAGATTGCACATGTTTAGACCAACTGTTGTATTTAACTGTTAGCTTACAAATATCACAAGTTTTATCTATTTTTGGTATTCTCTCTTGTATTGTTCTTACATTTGTTGTTGTTGTACCTCTGTATGTTCGTCTAAATCGAGGTATAATTGTTTGATCTGGATCATTGTTTTGATGACGAATAGATTTCAAATGTCTAGACCAATTTTTGTAACTAACTGTTAAGTTACATTTATCACAAGTTTTGTTATCCATTTTATTATTGTTAACATTTCTATTAAAATTGATTTCAATTTTTTTATTTTCCATTCTTTATTATAGAGAATATTATTTTTTTTTTACATTCAATATTTTAATAAAAATAATTTTTATTAAAAATAATATTTAAATAATATTAAGATCCCATACTAAATTCACACATTTTAATATTTCCTAAATCTTGAACAATCTTAATATTGTCTAGATAATAGTGATTATAATCACTTGTTGCAATAATTTGATCATTGGCTATATGACAAAGTTCTAACCAAGTTGGTGAATGTAATAGTTTAGAAATATAAGGATTTCCATTTCCAAAATCAACATCTCCTTGACTAATAATAAAAATATTTCCTTCAATTGGAATTTTATTTAGATTATATTTAATACTCTCAGAATTTTCATAGTATTCAAAAGCACAAAATTTTACATAACATTTATTTTTTTGTATACTTTTTTTTATTTCTTTTCGCATTAATTTCAAAAAATTAAAATTTTTTAGCCTATATTGATTAATTGGTACACCATTATATTTTGTATTAAGTCTACAAGGTAAAACTGTTTGATATATATCATTTTTTTGATGACGAATAGATTTTAAATGTGAAGCCCAACTTTTGTAACCAATTGTTAAATTACATTTATCACAAGTTTTAGCAGGATATATTTTTTTATTTAATACATCCATTTTATTGTATGTATCAATTTCTTTAATTAAAGTGTAATGGGTAAAATATAAGAATAGAGGTTTAGGGGCTGTATTATTAGAGAGAGAGATGTAATGCCCGATGGCACGAGAATGAATCTTACGTTTTTATTTATTTGGTGGGGTGTGATTATCTTTAATATGTTCAGCCTCTAATTTATCTTATAGAATTTCCCTTTACTAAATGTTATTATGTGTATATGTGTGCATTATTTAAGTACATGCTTTAATCATAATATGTGTGCACTTACCTTGTTTGGATATGAATGTGCTTGTCTTCTGTGACTCTCGAGTTGTGGATTAGATGCACGTTATTTATTACCTCTTTTATTGATGATTTTAGGTTGAATTGAAGTATGGATTTTTTTTATGTTGGAAATAAGAATAATATGGAAAGGAATTTAATAAAGTTAACACGTATTTGATTCAGTTATAAATGTAAAAATATGAACGTAACAATATGAGTTAGCACTTAGGTGTTTGGATATTTGTGAGACGCGAGTGTAAAATATAAGTTAAGTTAAAACTTGGTGAATAGATGAAAAAATGATTTATGTGTATATGTGTGGCGTAGAAAAAATGGTATTGCGGCTATGTGGCTATATGATGACACTGCGACATTGGTCAATCCTCTTCTCTTCGCTCCGCTCCTTGAACGCCGTCTCTGATCTGTCTGCTGTTGTGTCTTTGGTGTGGGCGTTACTTATATGAGCGTATCATAATTGTCGTCGCATGTCGCAGCATCACTATCCGTGTATAGGGTGTAACTATTCTTTGTAGTGTATTCGTATTGTTTTATTACGGTGTGTATGGATGCGTCTTGTGAACTATTCTATCCTATATGTATGTGTGTGTGTGTTTTATATAATTTGGGGAGATTTTGATGTATATTCTAATTGTTGTTACATCATTACCTGTATAATTCGGGATGTGATTATTCAATTATTTTTATATTATGTGATTGATTTTGGTGTACATATTAATTGTTGTGTCATCATGTTTTAGATGATGGGGTTCAATTATTGTAATGTGCTGTGTATTTAATTGTTGTTGCACAACGTCTTATTATATTTTATGTGATCTACTTATATGAGAATTATATTATAATATTAATCGTTTATATGTGGCCGATTTAATTGCATTATATGTGCCACACCCAAGTGCTTATACTCATATTGGAAGTCCCTTTTTACCTTTTTATTATTAACAAGACTTGTATTATTTATATATTACAAATTGCACGGAAATTCGAATTTCATCGTGTCCCCACGATGAACTGATGTTATACATTTAAAAGTTGAATATTCCGTGTATATCTTAATGTATAATTTATATAATATGAAAATTCTTAAATATAATATGAGTATTTGCTATGGTTGGTAAAACAATGAATATAATATTTGATTAATTATTAAATTGTGTGTTTTTTTTTGATAGGTTGTATAGTTCCCCTTTTTTTTTTTTTCTAAATTTAAATTTACTTTGTGTACCGAAATAAAATTTGATTGTTTTTTTTTTTTTGTGTTTTTTTTTACTTAATTTACTTTGTGTATGGAAATAAAATTTGATTGTTTTTTTTTTTTTGGAGTGTTTTTTTTTACTTAATTTACTTTGTGTACGGAAATAAAATTTGATTGTTTTTTTTTTTTTTTTTTTTGGGAGGGTTTTTTTTTTTACTTACCAAATTTTGTTTTTATTATTGACAATGTGGTTGGTGTTGATGTTGGTGCATGGGTTGGAATGTGCTGCTCTCTTGGTTGAATCCGTGACGTTGATTGTTGATGTTTGTTGGTTGACTTGCTGACGAGACTGCTGTGGCCTTATTTGACTCCGTGATGTTGGTTGTTGATGAGGCTAATCCATTGTCCGTTGAATCCATGATTGATTTGCGTGGTCGACATTTTTTTTTTTTATTGAACCGTGTCATTGGTGGTTACTGTGGGAGGGGTCTTGAATACTTCAACGGCGTTGATTATGATTTGGTCCATCATTAATTCTTTATATTGTGTTTTCCTGATTACCGGCATGTAATTGTGTTGGATGTTGGTATTGTTGAATGATATACATTTTGCTAAATGTAATATCCATGGTCCAGAATTGTGCGAACTTGATTGTTTTGGAATGTGGAAGTAAATTGATTTCCATTTCGATGGATGATGTCCGATAATTGTTTGCCGGCTGATTAAGAATTTTTTTATGACTGCCATTTCAAATTCATAATTGAGGTTCTTGTTATAATAACAAGCGATAGTTTTTATTTTTGTAAATATAACTATCAGTGCCCATTCTTCTTTGATGTGTATTGGGAATAGTATTATTTTGGTATTTAATACTGGAATTTTCGTCCATACCTTTGTTTCACGCATTCCATCATTTAGATATTTGTCAATAAAATCAACATTGAAGGCATGTATTTTGAGTGTTGATTGCGTTGTAATTAGATCGAGGTATTTGTTGATCATATTTTCGTTGTATTTATAAGTATAGAATGTTGTTCCAAACCCAGCCATATTATGTTATGATTTTATAACTTTATATTGATTATTTTTATAAACTACTATATAGGTGATGAATATGTTTTTTTTTTTTTTTTTTTTTTTTAGGTAGGTAGTTATCCCGTTATTTGATATAAGTTCCCTTTAAAGAATTTTTAATTTAATAGTGTTTCCCTTGTTTTGATTAAATTGTACTTATTTAATCATGTATGTGATTAAGTCTTACTTTCCTTAAATTATTGATTATAATTGATAATTTGTAATAGTTATTACTACTTATGAGGTGAATATTTTTGTTTTTTGTATTTTTATAAATCCTATTCTTTATCCCCTTTTGTAAATTTACACTTAAAATTATAATAATTCGATTGATGTTTAGATTATTGTTTTGCTAAATAGTATCCCTTTTAATATAAAAATTCCCAGTTAATGTTATAAATTATGTTTTTTTTTTTTTTTTTCTAATAATTCTTAGTGTTTAATCATTAATTAATCTATAGGTACTTATTTTTATCTTATTTTTGTTTATTTTGTAGTTAATATACTAATAAGTCTTAATATTATATACCCTTTTATTTGTACTTTGTAATTATCTTTAATTATAGTATTTACAAATTTATTTTATTGTCTATTTTATGATTAATGTAAGTACTAATGTGTCTTAATATTATATATCCCTTTGTGTTAGTATTAGTATTTATAGTTGTTATTAATTCTATTATCTACAAATTCATTTTATTATTTTTATTTACTTTTCTAATGTTGTTATACTTGTATAGTTGATATTGATAATGATTTGATGTTATATCCGGTGTTAATTAATTGATTGAAGTTATCAACATGGTGTTTCCTTTTCAGTATCTTTTGATTATATTTTGTGGTTATAATGATTAGTCTGAATTCTGATTTCTGGCATGTGTTTTTTTTTTGAATTGTCTTATTAATTATTATTTGTGTTGTTAGTATATTTGAATTATGTTTATTTAATTTATTATGTTGGATATTTTGGATTCTTTGACGTTTATGTGTTCAAGCATTATTTCAAGTAAGGTAGTAAAGTTGTTAATATATAATTTTACTAAATTTTATTTTTGTAGATTCTATTCTTCTTTTGGTTGATTATTGTTGAAATTATATTATGTTTAATGAGTTTGTGTGTTTTTATTAAATAACTGTTTTATTCCAGTTGGTAATGTTTGATCTTCAATTGTTCTATTTGTCTTCTGCAACAAGGACATTTGGTATTTTTGATGAGTGAAATACAATTCATATGAAACGTGTGATTGCAATCAGTTTTTATTAATTGTCCTTCAGATTCAAGACAAATTGGACATATTGTTTCTTCGTTTAGGGTAGGTGTGAATTCCTTGAGATTTATTTGTTGTGCTATTATTATTACTTGTTTATCTTTTTTTATTAAGATTTTTTTGTCTGGAAATGAGTTATTTAGTGTTATGTTTTTTATTTTATTGTGTTTACATGATAATTTAGTTAATAAACCATTGATTATTATTGTTTCTAATGAGTTATTAGAACAATGAATTTCGTTTAATTTTATATTTAGTTCAATTTTTGTTATTGAATTTCTTTTGCAATATAGGGTTGACAGATTTCTATTTAAATTGAGATTTGTTAATTGATTGTTGCTGCAGTTTAGTGTTCTCAAATTTGGATTTAAATTTAATTCTTTTAGTTCATTGTTGTTACAATGTACTTCTATCAGGCTGTATCCTAATATTAGGTTTTTTAATTTGTTATTTGAACATGTTAATTGGATTAGTGTGTTTGATAGATTTAAATCAATGATCTTATTGTTTGCACAATCTAATGCTCTTAATTCATTATTAGTGATTAGTTGATTCATGTTATTGTCTGTACATATAAGGGTTTGTAATTTAGTGCATTGTGACACATCTAGTTTATTGATGTCCATGTTAATTATTGTTAATTTCCTTAATGTATTTGATTTTATTATAAGGTTTGTATATATTTTTTTAGGGCATTCAGTGCTTAGGTTGAGTTCTGTGCAGTATGTGACATATTTTTGTGCTGAAGAGTCTGATTTTTGTTTGAACAACATTTTATTGGTGTTAGCTAAAAATAAGAAGAATTTTTATTTATTATTATGCAACTGGTTATTTGCTGTTATTATTGGTGTGAAATTGTTTTTTTTTGTGAGTGAGCTACTGATTTTGATTATTTATTAGAGATTCTAAGGATGTATTTGTGTTGGTCATTAGGTGATTAAATATGCATTTGGTCAGATTTACATCTGTTACCGGGTCATGTATGTATGTGTCATTATGCGATAATTTACATATTATTTTGTGCGTTTCCTCTAGGTTTGTGAGCCTACCTTTTTTGTTTATGTATCCTAACTTTGATTTAATGACTATTTTATTGTTTGTAGTGTTTATTAGTTGTAAAAAGAATTCCCCATTATTGTGAGTGTCGTAACATGTCATGTTGAATACTGGCATGTCTATACCCATCCTTTTTAGTATTTCCATGTCAGTATCCCCATTCCACGTTACGATAATTGGTTTCTTGTTATTGTAGTTAGCATATTTAATTATGTATTGTGGATTGAGGTTGCCATTCTTTTTTAGGAAGCTCTCATTTAATTCATTCAATATTGGTTCTTGTTTTTCCGGTTTATTTTTGAAGATTTTTATTATTGTTTTTATTATTATATTTATTTGGTCTCTGGGTAATTTAGTTATTTCTGTAGATTTTGATGTTTCTTAGTAGTAGTGGTTGCCCTTTTAATTAATAGTTTTTGACTCGGTGTGGCTGTTAGCTATTGCCCCGGATATTAGTACTAGTGTTGTTCTTTCGATTAAAGTAAATTCAAAATCTATGATAACGCAATTCATTTTGTATTGTTTTTATCTTGTCAGTCCTGTAATTTTAAAATATAATAGTTTTTTACATATATTTTTTAATTCTTTTGATTTTGATTTGTGAGCTGTGTTTTTTGTGATGCTAGCTGTGTGTATAAGTATATTTGATGTGAGTGTTTGTGGTGTAATGTTATAATGTGTGATATAAATTCTACCCATTTCATTTGGTATTACTGCGTTTTGAAATTGAACTAATTCTGGTGCCTTTATAATAAAGAATGCATAGTTGTAAAATGTGTATGATAGCATAGAGCGACCAATGTATGTTTTATTGTTTAGTGAATAATGATCTCGATAAATGTTTTTTGTCCATTCAATTTTTTGGATTTGTGGGTCTATTATGCATGAGTCATTGAAATATAGGGTTATTTTTTTATGAAATTTATCTGAGTAGTTTTTTGAAATGAAATTTTGTTTGGAATTATTTTTATTGAAATATGTATCATAGTATAAGTTTTGGTTTTCTAAATTGAACATTCTTGATGATTCAGGTATTCTATAAAATTTTCTTTTATCTTTCCCTAGGTGTCCTGTCATGGTTAGAAATATTGGGTCACATAGAAGTCCTGCCTTCATTATAAAATATGCCGATAGTGCAGTTATGTCAATTATTTTTTCTAATAGGTGGGAAGGTTTTAAATTTGGTAAATGCCATAATTGTGATGATAGACAGATGAATATTTCTGATAGAAATATTGCTCGTAAATAAGCTTTCTTTTGTAATTTAAGTGATTTGGTGGTTTTTTCTAACTTATGTAATATTTTGGTTATATAATTATAATCTGAAGTGTTTTCATTTAAACATATTATATAAGTATTGTTTAGATTATCAGTATAAATTGCATGTTTTATTTTATTATTTTCTATATTGTGGGTTCTATTTATTATTTCTTTGTGGAGATGTATTGTTATCATATGTTTATTATTCTGTCTTATTTTAAAATTATTGTGATTGGAAAATTTGCTGTTATTCGTTTCGCTCAAATTTAATACAATGTTGTTTATTGTGTGTGTTTATAATTGATTAATATTGAGTTTTGTGTTGTGCCCCAAAATGTTGTTGTGTCGTACGTTCTGCTGTCGACTCGTGATGTTGGATATCGATCTGTTTGTATTGATTTCATTAGGTCTGAACGATATTCCATCTGAATTATGACATTTATGATTTAGTGTAAATTTAATGGTGTTAGTGCTTATGTACAAGAATTATTTTAATGACTCTGATATATTTTATATTATATATTTTTTTTATATGATTTAGTTATATTATTATGTATTATATTATGATTATGTTTAGTTTATTCAGGCTTTATGTATTTATAATGATCTTCTAAGATCTTGGTGTTGTGTGTTTTTTATATTTAGTGATGGATAGATTTGTCTAGGTTGTGGTGTAGGTTGTGATATAGGTTGTTCTGTAATATTGTCTAATAAGTATGTCTCTGGATTTCACTTTTCATTATTTTGTGTATTTTGTTAGCTTTAGTATGTGATTTATGCAATAAAATAATGTGTCATGCTTGCAAATAAACCTGCCAGTACTTTAAAGCTAAATCCAAAAGTTTGATATAAGATTGACATGTTGATTGTTGTGTTTAGACATATCATAAGATTTTCCAATATAACAAATACACCTAATAATCCAGATATTGAAATTACCAAAACCTACAAACCAGCCCCACATTTTGTTTAGTTTTTCTTCGACTAATTTGCTTATGAGTTGTTCATCGATATAAGGTCTTATTTTTAGTCCTTGATCAAGAGTGTTGTAGCCCATTGTTTCTCTTGCTAGGTTGCTTTGAGCTGCAAAAACTTCTTGAGGAAATAATAGGTGTTTTTGTAAAGCGTTAATCATGTCGCTTGAGTATAAGCCTGCGTTCATTAGGTGTTGTGGACTTTTATATGCCCATGTCCAAGTTGTTTGTGGTTTTAATAATTG